TGCCCCGGTCTTGCTTAATTATTGAAGATCATCATTATCAAATATCAATCATTGAATGTTGTTACGTTTGTTCTTACTTCCAAATGTTCCGTTGCATACAACTTTCAATTAATGGTAACTTTGCCATTAAAGGTAACTTCAATGGAAACATTGATTTCATTGGCTGTTGAGTGATGTTGCAATGGTAGTTAATACATTATATTGATGGCTAAGTTACCATCAACGGTTAGTTTTATGCGACAGGGTTCAAATGTGATATCTGTTGATGAGGAAGTTGGGGGCTTATTAAGCGAGATTTCTTCTCGGTTTGAAGGGCGATTCAACCCTTGTAATAATCTTATTTATATAAAGGCAGAAAGATACTAGAAACAGAAAGGCGAAAGTTTGAAATAAATCTGACGGTGACGTATAGTCACGGACAACTCTCCCGTTTGTCGTTAACAAAAAATATAATTAGTGCCTTCTCCCTTGGGGAACTACTCAAAATATATCAATGATACTATATTACTGTAGGCCCTCTAAACAGAAAAGAGCCTCCTGAGCCATACATTTTGAAAATTGACATTCTAATCATTTTGTGTACAAATGGGAAAGCTGTCTGTCACAGTGACATACCGATTCAGCCAATTTGATGAGCCCATACGTTTAGCGATTACAACTTCAAAAAATACATACATTTCTAATTTTTGTCCGATTTTGTTCAAACCTCATCAGTCTGCTGTTCTGATAATTTTTGCTTTTTTTTAGTAGTTGTTTATTAAGGTTGGATTTTCCTTTAACTTTGTTTCGAATTGAAATGTTGCTTGTTATATGCACTCACTGTCCAAAGTGACCTTGTGTAGGCCGACTGGGATGTGAGAAGAATATTTGGGCCATCGGGTGTATGAAAAGTCAAAGGTAAATTTGTCTTCATAACATCCATTAACCAGCCCATACTATATTTGTGATTTAATTTCACTCTCCGTGAAATTCAATTTAAAACTGTGTTATTGTAAATTCATACAGAAGGTCATGCATTGATACATTGGCGAACAGAAAATTGCGCATTGAAGGATCAAAATAAAAAATGTCACTGATAAATTTAATTAAATGTCCATACAACATATCTGAATACATCAATGTCATTGTGTTTTTTTAAATTATACTCTACATGACAGGTACCATTCTTACAATTTCATGTCATGGAGTAGATCTAATTGGTCTTATTATTAATAATCAATTTTATTTTTTAATAAGTACTCAATTTTATTGAAAATACTAGTACAGAACTTTTCCAGATTTCAACAATTTACTTTGTAAATATAATTAGATTGGTCATTGTATAATTTTAATGTTCATTTTTATAAGCGTAATTCAGCTTATTGCTGCAAAATATGTTTTTCGATGAATCATTTTCTTATTGAATTGAATCGCATTGATATCCCTTGAGAGTATATTTAAAGCATATTACCTTTAGGGGGACATCATTATTTAATTAAGGTATAATGAATTAAGGTTAATAATTGTTCATAAAATTGCCGATAAAACTTTGATTGGTATTGTGAGGCAGCAAAATGATGTTATTTTGAGGTGTTTTGTTAAAGGTGATAATCTAGTAGGCCTAGGCTTTATGTTCCTAAACGACGCCACAGGGTTAATTCTAAACCCACAATCCGATGATTTACTGTATCCTTTCATAGAGCACGACCAATAAACAAATTCTTCATAATAAAACGAAACAAAAAACAACTTGGCTTACACATGCATTTCACATATACAACCAGCCTATAGCTGTACGTAATGAATTCTGTCCTAGTTACTAAATTGGGGCCAATTGCTTTCCAATTGTACGTAAATAACATTCACTATAATGCTGTCGTAATACACGCAGCTGGACACTCAACGGTACATCCACTATATTGGACTATTCAAAGATTTCCCGAGGACAATTGAGTTTAAAAGCAGATGTTAACCTTTCTGTCGGATATTACAAGAAAGTCCACACGTTTGAAGTTAAAATCATACAGGAAACGCGAAAATGGATGCCATGAATAGAATGATTAATAATTATATATTTTGTCCTAGATGGTGTAGCAATTGGAAAACGTAACCCCTAATCGAATATCAGAAAAGAGCGAGAGAGAGAGAGAGAGAGAGAGAGAAGGAGAGAGAGAGATATAAAGAGGAAATACAAGGATAGCCTATTTGAATGAGAGGATTGTAATAATCTACAATACTAGTACCCTGAGGGTTTCGTCCGCTCTCTAATTATTGTGCCCCCCCCCCCTGCCCCAGACATTACCAACGCTTCGCTACTTAGTATGTACCGATTGCAATCTTCCAAATGAGCTCTTACTATTTTCAAACATTTTTCTTCAATTCAAATGTGAAATTCCGATCAAATTACCGCCAGTGATAACCATGATATTGTAAATTGATAAAGTGCACTTTGAGAATAATCCAATGCCACTTTGGAGACAATCATACAGTGTTATCATTGCGTCCCTCCGATCACTGGATTCGTAAGTGCACACCATGTCCAGTTCTATTCGCAGGCAGCATTTCAGCACTACCCAAATGCATTTGCACAAGATCTTGCAAGAGCATACCCTATAAGATTGGGGGGAGGGGGGTGTCCGGGCGCTTTACAAAAATACAACCGTTATTTTCACGAAAGTATGCATTAAATAGCACTAACCATCATAAATACTTGTCTTTTATAAAGTTGTCTAACATCAGTCTTAAGACTTCAAATCATCGATTCATATCAATTACTGTCCGGACATACAACATCTGGGTATCCCATGTGAAGATCAGTGGTTTATTGTGTGTACATCCATTGAGGGGGCACAGCCAGGCACCAGTAGTGGAGATGGGGGGGGGGGTGAAATTCGACATTTAAATTTCACTGTAATAAAGAATGAAGGAGGGGATCTTCTTGTATTCTTTCCTCATACTTTTCTCTCCTTTTATGTTTTTCTTTTCCTTTCCGATTTCATTTTTCCCCCATTCAAGGAGGAGAGCATTCGTGCCCCGTGCCCCCTATAGTTACGTCACTGATGGGTGAAGATAGAATATGAATGATGCGAGAGGGACGGTAATGTGATACTGCTCAGTATTGATTTAAGCGTATTGTATATTGGAGCAAAGAAGGTCGCGTTAGTGGTAGAATTGAGCCGTTATTGAGTCGACATTCACATTCAAATAGGAAGTATACTCCGGCATGCCTTGGCTCCAATCCTCCAATGTCGCTTTATTTGATTGGTTTTCGTGAATCGTTTTTTTCACTGGACGATTTTCACCTATCTAAGAGGCTTTTCTTTCCTACTTATTAAGTCTACGAACGTGCCCCTACTGTTTTTTAGATGATTAGGTGATGGCGTTTTTGCCCTTTGGCAATTTCCTTTTCTTTTTAAAGAAATATTGTGCTATTCCCCCTTTTTTAAAACATAATCCTAAATCCACACCTTTTTGTTTTCCCAGGGTATTCAGAATTTCGATTAGTCTGTTCGGGATGAGGGGATTGTACATGAAATATCGATCACTTACTTTAAGACCTCTAGCCGTGCGTCTGCATGTTTACAATGAAATTTCATGCATGATAAAGTTCAATTCAAGTCCCAATTATCATTTCGATTATATTCCCACAGGAATACAAAATGAATTCGATTAAATTAATATGACAGATCGAAAATGTCTTCGATTAATATTGTATTCCATGCTAGGCAGGTGGATGTTTAACATGGATGTTGGTCAAGGTTGTATGGCAATCATTATTACTTCTACAACGAATGCCCGGTCCTAGTATGTTATCAAGGTAAAGTCATGAAATTTGATAAATGTTGTCAATGTATTCTTGCAAATAAAATGTTTAAGGGACTAAATCTATCTGGTCTTTTTGAATTATGCTTCTCCCTTTTGTTTATTTTTCATCTGTAGGCCAATAGTCAACAGTCTTCATATTAACTAAAATATTTAGCGGAATAAGTAACTTATTGAATGGAACAAAGGAAAGCCCAATAATGTAATGATGACAAAGGTGCTTAGGAGCTGATGTATGTTAAAAACAAACAAACAACATTACAGCATAATTTTTTGCAAAGCAATCATTTCAACACAAACGTTTTACAGTCCTAGCTGAATGTAAATAAAACAAGATAGTTTATTTCAAATCGTATCGTTCTGAAGAAAACAAATCTTTAGAAATGCTAACTAATGTTAAAGCATTTATTTTGTAATGCTTGTTTAGTTCCAAGTGTCAACATCATAATGTGAAAGTCACACGTAAAAGTCGATACTTAATACATTACGGCAATTACAGGGGAAAACAAGAAACATTAATGAAATGTTTCTGTGGTTGAATATATTTGGTAAGTTGAAAGAACATCATAATCAAACCACTCTCTGCACCATAATTGGAAAGTGCTGATGAAGATTTTTTGTTTGTAATGTTACGGCGCCGCGTGGCATGTATGTTGATTGTGTAGGCTTACGGTGCAGCGGTATGTACAATATGTTGTGTGTATAGCCCGATGGCACCGCGGTTGTGTCATACGTTACGGTAGCGAATACCGCGGCGCCAGAGGTTCCGTAGAGGCATATAGGCCTAGTGTACACCGCGGCGTCACATACCGTAGTATCGGCTATATTTCTGATTGTTGGTACCCGCTGCATGATTGCAGTGTACCTCGTTTAATCAACATGCCAAAATTCAACACGTGATGTCAGGTTGCATATTATGTTGCTTTTGCTTCCTCTTTGTCAACAAGAGACAAGATCTGAAATACCATTAACATTTTGTTGTAACCTCTTCTTTGTAGTTTTATAATAATAAATGGCATGCTGATCAATCATTATTTTGTTTTGTTATGTATTTATTTAATATTATCAAATCATGTTGGGCCTAAGGCTATATCTGGTAGTAACCCGTCTACACAGATATCTCTACACAGATATCAAATGTAGATATACTCCAAATTAATAACCATTATTGTCTTTGTCGTTATTTCTTTTGCATTCAGACTGTACGTCATCACCCTGTCAAAATGGAGGAACCTGTGTGCCACGTCTAGGAGGCTTTGACTGCAGGTGCCCGACCGAATACTACGGCACCAGATGCGAGAACTGGAACCCGTGTCTGCAATACGACTTCTGCTCAGACCGTGGCAACTGCAGCAATATCCAAGGGTCTCAATGGGACTGTGACTGCTTCTCAGGATACGTAGGTTACAAGTGCAAGCATATTGACTCATGTGCATCAAGTCCATGTCCCGAGGGTACTACGTGTCAGAATGTTTGGCCTGCATCCTATAGATGTATTTGTGAAAAGGACGGGTACTACGGTGCGGAGTGTGACAACTTCAATGCTTGCTCAAGTTCACCGTGTTTGAACGGAGGCCAATGCCTCCACGTATCAAGTCAGGAATACACATGTGACTGCAACCCAGACCGGGATGTGACCGGATACCACGGCCCGAAATGTGAGAAATTTGACCCGTGTTTACCCGAACCGTGCAACGAATTAGGAGGAATGTGCAGAAACATTTCCGAGATGGACTATTTCTGTGAATGCTTTCCGGGATTTCATGGAAATTTCTGTTCCAGTTATGACGTGTGCATGACGTCACCATGTTTGAATGATGGAATCTGTGAATCATATAACAATGGAACCAACTTTACATGCCATTGTCCACCTATTTACCAAGGATCCCGCTGTGAAAGATTACGTGAGTAACTATAAAATCTTTGTTAGCTTTTAAAGAGAATAAATAATATTTTTTTAGCAAAAGCATTTCAAGTTCAGATTTTAAACTACTTTCTTAGTCATGCGACTTAAAACTACACGATTTAAAAATATCGTTATGAAAGTAACTTATACTTAAAGAGTGTCTGCCTGAATCATCCATAATTTTTTATTTCTATATATCGATACCAATATGGTCAACGTTATGAATTTTGTTTCAAACAAAAGATTTAGTTCCTGTAATTTACGAAAAAGATTGATATTGAGAATATTAGTTTTATGACTTTACTCTGACGGTTTAATTATCCAAGCCCTTATGTCCACTTAAACAGGATATCCATTTAATATTTAATAAAAGGTCAAGACCAAGTGGAACACAAATACAATGCGACGTATTCACCGTCTTTAATTGTAGTTTCTGAGCACGGTCGAAGGAGGAAATAATGAAGCCAGTGATGAAAATATTATTGTGTAAGATGAGATCAAATTAGATCAAATACAATACACCCCACATGCGTACGGTTTGAAGTAAAATAAAATATCAGAAGATAATACCTAACTGTAGGAATTGTCAAAAGAAAATATGGGTTTTGTGTGGGACTGGCATTTCGATGATAGCTCCCCCACCCCCTCTTCCTCCGTACCCCATTATCGACTAGGTCTTAAAAGTAAATAATAACTTATAAAAGCTTTTATTATTGAAACACGATATTCCAAATGCCATTTGCTGTGAAAATAGTAACCCCAATGGAATACATGTATGTATACCGTATTCCCGAGTAACCCTACTTCTATCGGCCGCTATATTTATTTCCTTGGTGATGTACATGTAGCGGTGAACATTAAAGACATCATTATGGGCCTGGTATCGATGCAAGAAGTAAACACGAGCACATCTTGTGCTGATGGTTGTAACTCGTTGAAATATAATTTGAGATAGCCGTGACCTTGTTCCAAGTGAATGTTCTTCTATCTGACTAAAACTTTATTTCCACTTTCTAGGTCAATGTCTTGGTGAAGTGACCGTCGACATTAAAGGCATCATCGGTTGGTCTGATATCGATGTGGGAGCAAACACGAGCTCATCGTGCGCGTCTGGCGGGAATAATGTGACGCGCAGATGCTACTTCGATGAAACCAAGATGGCCACCAGGTGGACCTTCCCAGATACAGAAAAATGCGAGAAAGTAAGCTAGTTCAAGTATCGATTACCAAACTACATTTAAATAATTTGAAGAGCACTAGCAATGCACATAATTGAACAAAATAGTTAGATTACGAATGTAAAGATTATGTCCTATGACCTAATCAAGCAAGTTTTATTACAATCTTAAATGACCTCTAATTTGCCAAGTAAGATCTATTTTTCCTAAACGGGATAAAGAACTTTGTGTCTGTGTGTAAAATTAATTCAATTTCAAAGTAACCGTTTGTTCAATTCTCATCACCAGGCTAACTTGACCAATGCAGTGGCCGCTACAATGACGTCATACCTCCGGGACTCAACTGGAAGTAACCCTTCTGAGATGGGAGACTCGGAGGTCTCGTCTGCTTCTGAACTTCTCGATGCAGTTGTCGAGTTTTCCTACGAACAACATGAAGTAAGCGTTTTTATATTTTCTAAATTTTCTTTATTTTGCACATAAATTTGATTAATTCTCAGACATTCGTCGTTTGATAACTTTTATATTGTTACCTGAAAATTGTTACCTCGCCGCTAGCTGTGGAAGCCATTTCTAACTCACTGCCAGACACCTATATTTCTTCTGGGTCGTGTGAGAAAAATGTTTATTAATGCGTTGTCTATGTAAGAATATCATGCTCTCAATTAAAATACAAGTTGAATGATCACCATTCTTTACCCCAACGGTTTTCGTTCAGAATCTTTCATAATTATGGATATTTCGTAGGGGATGAGTATGACCGGAAAATACCTCTCTACACTCCCGCTTTATCAAGAAGTTTTGAAAAGCCATGACCTTTGAAACGAGCACTAACCATCTTTTCTGAATGAAAGTAGAATTTTCAGACCACGTTTTAAAAACAAATCCTTTAGTAATGCTGTAATAGAAAAATATTCGTTAAGTTTCAATGGAAACGACACATGCACATCAAACCCTAAGAGTTATCTTTATTCATGTTTATGGAGTGGTATAATATCGTTTGGTATACAGCTATGCTAGTGCCCCAAGAAGAGCGTGTTGCCACTTTAAGTGGCTTATACTCTTGGCGTTGCACTTTAAATGGCCTCAGCATGCGGTGCTCTCGTATGCGCATCAATACTGGTGACAGAGCAATAGCTACAATACTTATGATACTGACGACAGCATCTGCCTATATGAACCTACGACATTTAACCATATAAATGAGTATTCCAATTTCCCTCCGATGAGTGACGTAGCCCAAAGGGGAACGGGGGTACTGCCCGGGCGCGGCCCATTTCAAATGGCGTCAAACAACGTGGACAAGAAACGGAAAGGACTCATAAAAAGCAAATAATACGAACCCCTTTCACATTCTGCCCGCGTGCAATTGGCTTATTATTTCTCATACTATATTCACTACTGCCTCCCTTTCCGACACCAGTGCCCCCCAATGGCTGGACCCATGCTATGCCACTAAAAATCACATAATTCGGATTTATTACAACGACATTGCATGTTATGGTTACAATCAACGACACATTTTGGGTCTCACCATGGAGCGCTAAAATGCAGCTCCAGTAAAGACATCTCGTAAATTTGTTTCGTTTTGAACCACCATTCCATGTTCAAATGAAAACAAATTAACAAATTTCTTGTCACACATATCGGGAGACAGTGTGGTATAGAGCATCGAATTATAGAGCATCGAACCCTAACCCTAACCCACCCACCGGCTGCCGAGATGGTTGCTACAGCAATCACCGAGTTGAAGGACCGCAATGGCTCCTCGCTGCAAGCAATAAAGAAGTATATCGCTACCAAAGAATAGCCATTAAAGAAGAACCCAATAAATACGAAACCGACTAAGATTAGAATCAGAGTGGTCAAATGAATTTGAAGCGTGTTGGTATTTGTTAGTTTCCTGAATAATATTATATACGATGTCGTTATGATTTCAAGTACTGGTATACTATAAGGGTTATGAATAACGCACATTCTGCTTCCATGATCAATATCAAGTTATTTTTACAAGAGTAATAGGATTTCCTATAAGGCAATTAATGGTGGCAAATAACAGCCATGGTGAGTGGGTTTGGAAGTGTATGTTTAACTATGACTTATTTTCTCTTATGGGCTCATCCAGGCTATATGTCTCCATGATTATTTTTATGTATACCTTACATTATCTCTCTGGGAATGTTTTTAACAAATTTGGAGAAGTGATCATGCATAATGCTCAAATATGCATGAAATTTCCTCCATCCACTCTCTCTACTTTCAAAACCGGGCTTAAAACTCACCTGATGCTCAATGCATATTGTTTAATTTCAATGTTCTTTTTATACAATGATGTAAAACAAACAATCACTCTGTGGAACATGGTATGTACCTTGGCACCATGAAGTTGTATGCTCTAATGCAAGTTAACATTTAATATTTCTTTAACCTTAAGTATGTTGCATATTAATTTAAATTATTAGTATGCACCTTGAGCATCTCTAGAGATGGATATATTGCGCTTTAAAAATATTGTTATTATTATTATTATTATTATCCACATATTCAATCATAAGAGATAACAAAACAGTTTTAAATAGTTTTTTTATGATTTCAATAATATTTATAGTATCATTTGTCACTCAAAGCTTTTTATCACCTCTCTTCTTGACCACAGGTATACAAAATCCTTTTTAATAAAAAAAGATGGCAGAATAATATTTCATGTAAATAATTATGAACAAAACATTTCTTTCCATACAGATGGCAAGCAATATGATGGAATGTGTGAGTAACCTACTGGAAGTTCAAGATGATATTTTAGAGGCGAGTGCACATAATTCTGGAGCTGATACCAGGTAGGATTTATATATTTTTTCATCCACCGTTTCTCAACTTGATTCTGTCTGTCCCTTTCAGATTTTGGGCACATTAAGTTCTGCAGACTGGTATCTAGGATCTAGGTTTAATATCAGATTTGCATTTACGTGATTTTTCTTTTCTATGTGTATTATGAATACATAGTTTCCAGTACGATAAATAACTTAAGAATATCGAGGAACAATATGTAGAAAGTAAAAAGTCAAAATGTTGATAACTAACATCCTAGATAAGTATCCACAGAACATAAATGCTCAATTTCATGTTTCAACTATGCATCTAGTTTCAACTATGTAGCCCGCGTTTGGGTACAAATTTTGGAATTTACATAAAGTTATGCTGTAGATCTAATTAACAATTGATAGAAAACCTATCATCTTTCATAATTTCCTTTGGTGTATATGGCCTTTCTAGTTTGGTAGGATCATATTTTCACCTATATTGAAAACTAGTCGAGAAGAAAGATACTAGAATGAGGAAAATGCCTGGATCATAGTAGTACTGTTGAATGGAAGCGGATGCATAAACCGCGGTGGATCCAGGATTCTTTGACCGTCGGAGTCTTATGTGACACTAAAAGTAGTTAGCTTTTCAACGGTATATTTACGTCCCAAAATTACGTTTCTCTGAATACCGAGAAAAAAACGGACCCAATGCATAAAACTTACCATTGATGGTAACTTTGCCATCAATGGCAACTTCCATGGTAACATGGCTCAACAGCCAATCAAAATCAAGGTTTCCATGGTAGTTGTCACCAATGGTAAGTTTTGTGCAACGGGGCCAAGAAGTACTAAAAATTTGCCACATAATTACATCTTTGTATTCAGCTCTAGTCAGTTGTATAGTCTAGTGCCCCCCCCCCCTAGATCAGCTGCTGACTATACCCACTTCTACCAAACTGCCTGCAATATTACATTGACTTTACATGACATAGATTAAATATAAACAATAGTATGAGCAACTTTCCTGCCTGCAACTAAACAAAAAGGTCTATACATGGAAGTAGCGAGTTGCAGACATGTGTTTCTGTCGGTCGTGGAAAATATGCAAAAAAACCTTTTCAATAAAGTATCTCTCTGGTGGCAAATTAGCTCAAAGTGTCTGGCTTTCAAAGAATCCTTAACTTGTATATGCGTTGCATCCCCTTCTCAAGTTCCTGGAAACAGGATGGGTACATAGCAGGTGTAAAGTTAGTAATTCCCTCTTGCTCTGGTGGCAAGATGTATGTGAGAAGAACATCCTTTATGCTTTACATATCTCTTCCTCTTCACAAAGAGAATGATAAGAACGAGTTCATGAAAATGGAGCTGCAGTACTGAGTGGATCATGCGGATGACAATCATGTGCCTTCACAAGGCCACTGATACGTGTGTGGGTGGAGTGTGTGTGGGAGTGGTCCTATCATGTTCCTTTCTCTTTCCTGTTTCCTTTCATTCCCCCTCTCTCTCTCTCCCCCCCTCTCTCTCTCTCTCTCTCTCTTTCTTTCCCTCTCTCTCTCTCTCTCTCTCTCACTCGGCTGCTTTCCCCCGTGACTCCTGAAGCTAGGTCAATGCCAGTAAGTTATATGCAGGGAGGATAGGCCCGAGGGTCATATTGATTAAGTTAACTTTCTCTCTCACATAATTATAATGCACGGGAGACTGTCGAATAAGTATCAAAATGAAATCATATTTCAAATAATTTCAGCTTTTCAGGATATCACCTACGTTTGAGAGGTCCTTGAATGCTTCCAGCAGCGTTTCTTAGGGGGCAAGCAAAGGGAAGCAAACGTGTTTTCGAAGAGGGTTGTCAATATCCATGTGTATAGAAGATCATAATTCGCTGGCATCAGACTTGGTAGAAATACTAGTAAATATTGGTGTACAAGTCTGCACACAGCAAACCCGTAGTCCCATCAAAAAAATATCTCAGAAGTCTCTTGGAGAGTCCTCGGGTGAGGGAAATGTAAGATAATGACTTTACCATATGGGGGAATGGGTGGAAAATGCAGGGCATTACGTAAAAGGCCGTTTGGTCATACAACTGGAGGCTACTCCTGGTGGTTGACAACGGCTGTTATTGGGTCAACGCCCGAATGGTTTCGAATTCCCCATGAGAGCCCACTAATACATGTATATGCGTCTTTAAATGTGTCTCCAAAACACCTCCTCACAGAGAAAAGGGTCTTGGAAAGTAAGACAAGGAAGATGAAGGACCCATGCAGGTCCGCTTCTGATTTCAGTATTTGCTGTATAGGCGCCTTTTAAAATTTGCTGTGTTGAAATTATCTTAAGAGATACGTTTGGACAATACGTGTGCGCAATATAAATTGTGTGCTTACCCTGTTTGCCATTTTCCTGGAAGCGCCACTGAATGTATATGTTTTGTGAATACAGATGAGAAGCCAGAAATACAAGACACATCCAAGATTAATCTAGAATACAGAGGATACACCGGATCCTCTCGATGTGCCATCTCTTAACTTTGACTTTACTTATACTTTCAAGGGAAATTACTATCCTGGCCTTGAAATGTAGAAAACATTGCAGCGAAGCATCTCCAAACACCTTACTAAAGTTACGTCCAAATTACTGTAATGGGTACGCCTCATAATACATACATCGGAATTATGAGTTCCTAACTTGTGTTTTCCTGAGACCAAAATAATTGCTGGGAAAATTCTGAAGTTGGATGAGATTGCAGTCAACTTTGTCGAAATTTGTTCGTCTTCTCTCAAGCTTAGAGGAGAGATAGAATCAGAGAGAAATGTACCATTTAGGTACCATTAGGCTTATTTGATAATTAGTTTTTTTCTAGAACCGATTCGTCAAATTCATTCGATTGAATTGATATTCACAGTGTTTTTTAAAACTTACTGACAATTTTAAAATGGGAAAAAGGATGCTTTTCTCCGGGTAATTTTCTATGAGTGATCATGAGTGCATGTGAAAACATATGAACGCGAAATTTTGCTAACATGAGGAATGTCACCAATTCCATATAGTCTTCCTATAGTTAAATTCCTCTTGTTGGAATAGCCAAAGAAGGGATTATAAATATATGGATTTCTTAGAATTTGCAGACTTCCAAATGTAGTCAGGATCATGGGATACTTCTTTAACTGCCTACATGTGCATTTATTCTTGTTATACCCGCACAGGTGAGTAAGTACCTTAACCCTTTACTCTGCTATGGCTGGAATTTCGCACCTTCAAGTAGTTCATGTCAGAGACATGTGGTATATAATTTTGAAATTCCTTATTCCAGAATAATATAAACCCTAATAACCTTTCAAATCATACCCTGTCAGCTGGAGCTAATGTACCATCAGTCATTGCTTCTCACAGTTCAGAGAAATTACCTATTGGGCAGCAAGATAAGTTCCTTTCCATATTGAGTTAAAGGAAGCCGTGAACATGGTGAAAGCTATTATAGCTATTATAGTTCAGTTAATAAACCAAATATATGATGATGAGTATATGATGATGAACAGTCGTGTTCCATCCATCACTCAGGTTTATATGACGTCATCAGAACTCAGGTACGCGGAAAAACAATATCACAGCTCGCATCAAGTGTGATGATTTTGCACTTTTCCAATTTCAACCGCAAGATCATGTACTCGTACGTAGACGTAATTGTTCGAGGTGTTTTGGAAAACCAAACATTTTTCTTATTACGATATTAAAGAGCAATGTCGCTTTATTGATGATTGATGAAGACATGTTAAGTGATATGAACAATATCCATTATCGTCAACGGTTTTGTCGGAAATTACAGCAATCTCTTTTCCGTATAGTCAATACCCATCATTTTAATGTGTTTCCGAAATAACTTTTTGCAACAAGTTTTAGAAGCATAATTATGATGTATTGAGCACATTACTTTATAACTTGTTAATGTTTATATTTCAACAATACACGTCGAATATGGTAACATTGTGATAGACTGTTTTCACTACATTTCGCATATTTACATAGTTTTTTACCACGTTTATAATCTTGAAGATTGATTCGACCTGTCCTTTTTAGAGGCAGGATCTTTCATCACAGCCTAACAAAATATGTTTCACGATCTTTATCAAAACAATTTAGACAAAACAAATTATTGTAAAGAAAACGTATTAGACCATTTGATTAATGAGATTTCTAATAAATACGTAAGGCAGTAGGGCAACAATCTCCTTTCGCAAGACATTTTGACACCTATTTTTTTTCTTGATGAAAAGTCATTCTCAACAAGCACGAAATGTCTGTATTGTACTGTAAGAGTATATAACTATGTATATAGTCGTACATTGGTAAACAGAGAGGCCTGAATATTTACGTATAATTAAGGCAGTAATTATTCCAGTTAATGAAGAAAGGGGCTTCCATCTTTATAATCACCTTTGTTCACGCAATCCCTGAGTCTGTTGTAGTTAAAATGACATCAACATTAGTTATTAAATACGCTTGGCCTGCAGCTGAACTTGTATCAAGAAAACTCATCTACTCTATTCTAAAGTTCAAATATAATTTGACCTTCTTTCCCTGTTTGTACATTGCATCATGGATCTAAACTGAGCTTTGTCATTTTGTTCCGGGCTTTATTTCGTCTAAATATAGGTTTACGTTCGCGGTTTTGTTTTTAAATATGATTATACTTATGGTTAGGGTTGGCTATGTTTGGTTCAAGGCTGAAGTTGAGATTTTGGTATAGTGTAGGATAAATTGCCGTCAGAGCATGTGTTGCACAATCTCTAGATTAGAATAATATTTAGATTAGCTTCGTGAAGAAGAATTTGATCGAGATACACACCAATGTTAAAATAATAATACTGACACCGATTTTTTTTTTGGTTTTAGTTTTTTATTGGAATATTTGAGGTATGATAGTAGTACATCTAATCCATTCCGAAAGTATCTCTCATTACAAACTCAAGATAATGCATGTGTTCCGCTCTTATTAGTTGTGTTTTATACCACAGATCCGACCCCTAGTTTTTAAATAATAA